TGTGTATTCAGTTATGAGTTTATGTGTATTCGAAACAGATTTTTTTTTTTTTGGACAATGAACCAAAATAACGTCGTTTTGAGTAGGGCGGGGTGCACAGTGAGATATACTCCGTAACTATTAGGACTATTAGGACTCTATTATCCATATTAGACTAGGACTATATTATTCGTGTTAGACTAGGATTCTATCTAGCATCTCTATATATTCGCTCCCTGTACTCTCAGACATTGTCATTGAATACAGAAAATATATTCTCATCTGGTATCTGTTAGCCAGGATTTTCTTTTCCAACATCCATGTTCCTCACTTCGTAGCAGTAGCCGATGGCATCAAACCAAGATAGACCGTATCAGAAGCGGTCCGGTCAACGACGTGACGTTGATGATCCGTGTCAAATTTGTAAAGGTTTCGGCCACACGGGAGCCAATTGTGTTTGGCGTTATGATGATCCGTGTCAAATTTGTAACCGTTTTGGTCACACGGGAGCCAATTGTTTTTTGCGCTATGATGATCTGTGTCAAATTTGTAACCGTTTTGGTCACACGGGAGCCAACTGTTTTCGGCGTTATTCAGGGGCTCCGGGTTTTCAGGCTAATGTGACCGTCTCTGGTGATAATGGTGATTCCAACGGTCCTCATCAGTGGTTCCCTAACACTGGTGCTACAAATCATGCTACGCCTGATTTTTCTTTGATGACTTCTGCGACAAGTTATGATGGCCCGGAGACTCTGCGAGTCGGCAATGGTACAGGTTTGCCTATTGTTAATGTTGGTTCTGCTTCGTTAGCCACTGATTCTGTGTCTTTTAAGTTACATGATGTTTTGCATGTCCCTGGTTTCTCTTCTTCTCTATTATCTGTCCAGCGTTTTGCAAAGGACAATAATGTTTTCTTTGAGTTCCACCCTCTTTGTTTCTATGTGAAAGACATTTTGACCAAGAAGGTTCTTTTTAAGGGACATGCGTCTGGGGGTCTCTACACATGGCCTGCGTCTTCTGCTTCCCCTGCTGCATTTGTTGCTGCACGGTCCTCTTACGTTTGGCACATGCGATTGGGGCATCCTCATTCTAGAGTCTTACGTAAAATTTTAGCGTATTCGTTTGTTAGTACATTTAATTCTAGTGATCTTCCCAATGTCTATTCCTCTTGTCAATTAGAAAAATCTTCTCGTTTTCCTTTGTCTCGTGTCGAAACTACTAGTACGCATCCTTTGGAATTAATTTATTCAGATATTTGGGGCTCTGCGCCATTACTTTCTGCGTCTGGCTTTAAATATTTTGTGTTGTTTGTGGATGATTAGACTCGTTATATGTGGTATTATCTCATGCGTGCTAAATCTGATTTGTATGCTATATTTGATAAGTTTCGGTCACTAGTTGAACGTTCCTTTTCACGCAAGATTATTTCTTTTCAATCTGATTTAGGGGGAGAATATAAAAAGCTTGGTTCCACTCTTGCGTCCTTAGGTATTCGTCACAGGCAATCATGTGCGTATACTCATGAACAAAATGGCAGGGTAGAACGTAAGCATAGGCATGTTGTTGAAACGGGACTAGCATTAATGGCTCAATCCTCTGTTTCGTCTCGTTTTTGGGATTATGCTTTTGAAACTGCGGTTTATCTAATCAATAAAATGCTCACTCCTGTCTTATCTGATAAATCTCCTCATTATCTTTTGCATCGGTCTCCTCCATCTTATTCATATCTGCGTGTTTTTGGGTGTTTATGCTTTCCAAATCTGCGTCCCTATAATCGCAACAAACTACAGTTTCGGTCATCCCCTTGTGTCTTTCTAGGATATCCTCCATCTTTTCGTGGCTATCGGGTTTTAGACACCAACACTAACAAGGTTTTTATCTGTCGCCATGTGCGATTCGATGAAGCTGTCTTTCCTTTTGTTGCTTCTGTGGATTCGCAGGTTCCAAAACCACGCCCGGAGCCGTGGGGTGTTGCACCAATTGTTTCTTGTGGTGATCCGACTATTGTCACGGCTCGTGACCCTCCTGCCGCGCCCATAGCCGCTTCTGACCACCACCGCCAGCAGCCTGCTACTGCCGAGCCCGTGACCGAGTCTGAGCGGACAGTCACGGACCAGCCGGCTCCTCGGCCAAGAGGCCGGCCTCGTGGTCGGTCTCGTCCCGCGCCCTCACCCGTTCGCTCTCATGGAATGAATACGAGAAGTTCGGGACAAATGATCATGTTGCTTTATCTACTGCTGCTGTTACTCCTGAACCTACATGTTTTACTCAAGCGGTTAAATTTCCTGAATGGCATGATGCAATGGATTTGGAATTTAATGCCTTGGTGCACAACAGTACATGAAGGCTTGTTCCCTTTAAATCATGTATGAATGTAGTTGGATGTAAGTGGGTGTTTAGAACCAAGAGAAAGGCTGATGGTTCGATTGAGCGTTACAAGGCTCGGTTAGTTGCCAAGGGATTCAATCAGATTGCCGGCGAGGATTTCTTTGAGACCTTTAGTCCCGTTGTTAACCGACTACGGTATGTCATCTTTTATCCTTAGCTATTTCTCGTGGATGGACTATTCGACAGTTGGACATACACAATGATTTTCTAAATGGCAATCTCGCTGAGACGGTTTATATGCGCCAGCCCCCTAGTTATGAAGACAAAACGATGCCCGGGCACGTTTGTCTCCTTCAACGTTCTTTATATGGGCTTAAGCAAGCTCCCCGTGCTTGGTTCACTCGTTTACATGATTTTCTAGTTTCTCACCTTCCAAGACGGATGTCTCTCTATTTATATATTCACATGGCAATACTCGTCTATATTTTCTGGTTTATGTGGATGATATTTTGGTTATGGGATCTGATCCGGCTCATGTGACTGCTCTTATTGACAAGTTGGCTCTTGAGTTTAAAGTTCGTGATATGGGTGTGCCCTCGTTCTTTCTGGGTATTGAGACTATTCCGTTGTCTGATGGCATGCTTCTGTCTCAACAACGGTACATGAAGGATATTCTAAAACGAGCAGGTATGGTTGATTGCAAGCCCGTGGCTACTCCGGTTTCAACCACGAAGGCCGAGACTGATGCCGTGGTACCATACGCTGATCCCACTCAGTATCGCAGCTTTGCAGGTGCTCTGCAATATCTTACGGTAACTCGGCCTGATCTTTCCTATGCAGTCAATCGTTTGTGTCAACACATGCACTCTCCCTCTACTGCGGATTGGGCGGCTCTCAAGAGGGTGTTACGGTATGTAAATGGGACACTACATCTTGGATTTAAGATTACGTCTTCTCCTTCTCTAGATATTCATGCATATTCTGATTCGGATTGGGCTGGCAATCCTGATGATCGCAAATCTACTAGTGGTTTTGCTGTATTTTTGGGGACCAATCTTGTCTCATGGGTTTTTCGAAAACAACGCACTGTGGCTCGTTCATCAACTGAGGCTGAATACAAAGGACTGGCTGATGTCTCTGCAGAGGTTACTTGGCTCGTCTCTCTGATGAAGGAAATCGGGTTTGCGCCACCTTCTGTGCCCAAACTCTGGTGTGACAATCTGGGAGCTACTTATCTTTGTGCTAATCCGGTGTTTCATGCTCGCACCAAGCACATTGAGATCGACTACCACTTTGTTCGTGATAAAGTCGCGAAGAAAGAATTACAAGTCAATTTTATTTCTACCAAAGATCAGATAGCGGATATTTTTACTAAGTCTCTTTCGTCTGTATGTTTTAATTAACTCCGTTGCAAGCTCAATGTTTTGGCTGACCAACCTTGTGCTTGAGGGGGAGTATTAGGACTATTAGAATTCTATTATCCACATTAAACTAGGACTATATTATTCGTGTTAAACTAGGATTCTATCTAGCATCTCTATATATTCGCTTCCTGTACTCAGACATTATCATTGAATACAGAAAATATATTCTCATCATAACTACCGTACCACAATCGTGTATAAATATTATGAGGTAAGTTTATATGGGAAAAAATATTTTTTTTTTCGTTTGTAAAAGCTCAACATGATTGACGCTGTCCAATAAAAATGCGAAGATATTAGTCCACAAACCATGCGTAAATTATATAGTGAACCAAAAACTATGTTTAGCACTTAGGACTTTTGGTATCCCCGGCCTGTGACCCAATCATTTTGATTTTGTCTTAAGTTGTTCACATACATTTTTGTGTTGATAAAGTCACAGTTGACTGCAAACTTTCAAAGTTTCCAGCTTGTTCAGATATACAACACTCGCAATAGATGGATGGATCTCCAACTAAACCACTAGAAGGTCAACCACAATTTTGTTAAACCACTAGATATCTTAAGTAGGCTCTAACAGTATGAGATACTTTTAAGCCTGTATTATATATTTATATTAGACTAATCCTTGTTTACACCGTGTCGACCCAATTAAGGGGCTGGCCAAATTATATTAATTTTTTCATACGAGAGGGGTTCGAACTTTCGACCTCTCTTAAGAAATAAGAGTACACGGTTTGAACCTGGGCGAGCCGGCGACAGTAGTTATGCCGTGGAACTGTGTCCACCTTGCAAGGTGGACACGATTCTATGTTCATAATTACTGAACTCTATGTTCATAATTTTTGAACTTCATATTCACAATTATTGAACTTTATATTCGCAATTACAGAACTCTATGTTCATAATTTTTGAACTCTATATTCACAATTATAGAACTCTATGTTCATAATTTTTGAAAACTCTATATTCACAATTATGACAGTTTTGGAACCTTGTCCACCTTGCAAGGATGGACATGGTTTCACAACATAATTTGGCAAGCAATGACAGTATTTGGACTTAATTCAATGACTCAGTAAGACAGTATTTTAGAAAAAAAAAAAAAAAAATCAAGGTTCAAACTAAGCTGGATGGGGTCAATCACTAATTAATACTTTATACTTGTCAAACAAAATTAAATATCATTTTTGGACTAATCCTGTGTGAGACTTTTATTCAGTGGATAAACCCAACCACCCAAATTTTACATATAAATAGACAGTACCATGAATGCTCCAACAACCAACAGATCTTCATCTTTCTGATCTCTCTGTACACAAATTCTTTGAACTAATATGACAGTTCCAAACCTTCATAACATGTTTGGATTTCTGATAGTTTTGTTGAGTTTGAGTTTTGGTTGTGCCATGCCATCTCACCCCTCGTCTGTGGGAGTCAAAGGGGCGTATTGGCCGTCATGGGCGGAATCAGATTTCCCGCCATCCGCCATAGACACAACTCTGTTCACTCACATCTACTACGCATTTCTCGTTCCCAACAACGCCACCTTCCGATTCGACGTCGACGCCGCGACCGCCCGGCAGCTGCTCCGCTTCACCTCCACTCTCCGGTCCAAGAACCCGCCGGTGAAGACGCTGTATTCCGTCGGCGGCGGCGGCGTGGACGGGAGCCTGTTCACGCGCATGGCTTCAAGCGCCGCCACTAGGAAAAGCTTCATTCAGTCGAGCATTCAAGTGGCTAGGAAGTATGGGTTTGATGGGATTGATTTGGACTGGGAAATGCCCCAGAACCCAACCGAGATGGATTACTTCGGGCTGTTATTGGGCGATTGGCGGGCCGCCGTGGAGATGGAGGCGCGGGCTACTCGCCGGCCACCACTGCTGCTCACGGCGGCGACGTATTTCTCCGTCGATTTCTTCCTGGCCCAGGTATACCGGGCATACCCAGTCGCCGCGATTAACAAGAACTTGGACTGGATCAACGCGATGTGCTATGATTACCATGGATCATGGGATACCTCGGCGACAGGAGCCCAGGCAGCCTTGTTTGACCCGAAGAGTAACATAACCACTAACTATGGTCTCGGGCGATGGATAAAAGCGGGGCTGTTAAGAAGCAAGGTGATCATGGGCTTGCCACTGTACGGGAGAACATGGAAATTGAAGGATTCCAGCTCGTACGGTGTCGGAGCTCCGGCCGTCGACGTCGGCCCCGGCGGCGGAACTCTGAGATTTAACGAAATTGAAGCGTTTAATGAAGCGAACAATGCGACGGTGGTTTATGACGCGGCTACCGTGTCAGTGTACTCGGTGGCCGGAACATCATGGATTGGGTACGATGATCCAAGATCCATCTCGGTTAAGGTTAAATATGCTCAGGCCTTAAAGCTTCGTGGCTACTTCTTCTGGTCTGTCAATGGTGATCACCAGTGGAAAGTCTCCAAACAAGGTATGTTTTCACCTTTAATTTTAGTAACCTGCAATTCAAATATCTTAAGAAATTTAATACCCAGCATCAAATTAATTTTACAATGGTGAAGATTTCAGTAATTATAATTTATAAGCTAAAAAATCAACTTGATTAGTGTAAGTCTTCGTGTACTCTTATCTCAAGAGGTCAGGAGTTTAAACCTCATCTCGTATGAAAAATGCCCCTTAATTGGACCAGCTCCGTGCGAACAAGTATTAATACATCTGAGTACGGTATAGGTTTAAATGTGCCTCTTACAGTTAAGCCTCAAAATATATGGAAAATTATATGTACAATATCTAAAAGCTTAGTATTGTAAATAAAAAGGTATGATATTATTGTTATAAATGACTATATATCATTCTATTTTTTTTTTTTTTTTAAAATCAACATTATTTTCTATTTATAATAATAGACATGATATCTTTTTTTTTTTTTGAAAGGATATCTTTTTGATATTATGGATCTTTGTAATATATATATATATATATATATATATATATATATATATATATATATATTAAAATTTTCTATAATATCTACTTTCATGATATATATATATTTTTACTTATTATTGAGACTAATTCAATCTTTTGTTTCTTCTATTTTTCTTCTTGCAGCTAAGCAGTCGTGGGGTTTTCACTAAAATGATAGAAAAATCCTTAACCCTGCGTGACTATGAGGATATATATATCTTTTGTTTTTCATATCATCACCTATGAATGAAGGAGGATCTGAAGACCACTTAAAAAAATAAAAATAAAAATAATAAACAAGAATCTAGATATTCCTTCAAATTCAATGTACCAATAATATAATTGTTGCACTTATTGCACAATGCGTTTGTTGCTTTAGCAATTAAAGTTGAACGTTGACTAATAGGTAGAAGCAGCAAAACTAGATGTATGTGATCCTGATTTGATTTCAGTGCGATTATGATTTCCAAGTGGAATCTTGTAATTGGTTTTGATTCTTTGAATCAGTGGTTCCGATTTGAATTGGATTTTTGTTTTTAAATTCAAGAGTTTTTTTTTTTTTTTTTTTAATTTTAAAATAGTTTTTAGATAAAATATTTAAAATGTTAAGTTAAACAAATAAATAATAATAATAATTTTAGACTTACATTTAATTTTATCAAGATTTAATTGCTTAGGTATCTTATATCAAAATTTCAATAAGAATCAAAATTCATGTAGTAAAACAAAATAATAATAATAATAATAATAATAATAATAATAATAATAATAATAATAATAATAATAATAATAATAATAATAATGAAATTATTTTTAAAAAAAAATCATCTTCAAAACCAGAATTGTTTGGTTCTTGCAAATCAAAACCGGATTATTTGCATAGTATTCAGCTTGAAGCCAATCATGATCATTTTTAAGTAAAACTTCAAAATGATAAAAGGACAAACTAAAGCTCTAATTTTGAACATTAGATGTTATGTGTATATATACTTACAAAGAGTTTTTTACTAAAGCTATAACGATTAATTTTTTCATGATCTCACTAATTTTAAATTCTTGCCATATTTGATCACGTACTCTAAATTAATTTTTGATAACCAATAACTTATCTTAAAAGAGTAAAATTGTTATTTTCATTACTTTTTTCTTACACTTTTTGGGAGGGGACGAAAAATGATAATTTTACCAAAATAAGTCACTTGCTTGAAATTTAGTCAATGGTGACTGGAAATTAGGTTGAAAAGACTAAATGTGATAAGGATTTAAAAGTCGTGAACTAAATATTTAAAAATAAAAAATAAAAATCGAGAACAAAATGTGAAAATAATCCCTTACTCGTGAGGCTAAAAATGAAAAAAAAAAAAAAATCTACTTACAAACTCTCCCAAAGTACTTGTAATGGATGGTTGACATTTCATAGCATTCTCAATAGTTTAGTTTTTGTACAAATTTTTAGATGCCGAATAGTGGATCGGAGAATGAGAGAGGGAAAAAAATAAATATATATATATAAAAACATGAAAAATAAGTTTTCAAGAAAAAATGAGTTAATGAAAAAGCTCAATTAACGTTGACGGTAAATATGTTACCGGAAATATAATATAAGAGTAACGAATAAGAAAGTAACAATAGTTGTATTGCCTTAGTTTCAGTATGGAAAGTACAGTGTCTTTGTCCAGAGTATTGAACGTCCCCCTCCAAGCTGAGGGGAGTCCCTACTTATACAAAAGCTGCTAACGGTAACAACATGAAGGATAAATGGGGAGCTAAGCCTTTAATTCTCTCTCATCAATGGTGACATCAATGGTGGCTTCAATGGCAGTAAAGGTGACAGCCGTTGGAATTCTGCCCGTTGGAGTTTTGCCCGTTGGGTTTCCATGTGGTGTCGGGTCAGATGCTGCTTATGGTCCGGGTCGGGTGCCAGCACCATTCCATGTGGTGTCGGGTCAGATGCTGCTTATGATCCGTGTCGGGTGCCAGCACCATTATCCTGTCACCAGTCCCCCCTACTCCCGAGTCTACGGATGTGTTTGAGTTGACTAGGGAGTAAGACTGAATTTGGTTGATATCGTGCAGAATCCCGGTTGATCCCGAGTATGTGATTTTATTTTCCAAATCACACATGAAATTTTTTTTTTTATGCTGGCCGAGACGGGCTGCGGCTTAGGCTGGCCGAGGCGTCGCCTCGACCGCTCGTGGCCGAGGCGTGCGCCTCGGTCGATCGTGGCCGAGGCGTCGCCTTGGCCAATCATGGTTGAGTCGTCGCCTCGACCAACCGTGGCCAAGGCGTGCGCCTTGGCCGATCGTGGCCGAGGCGAGCTCTGGCCCCTTTTTTATTTTTTATTTTTTATTATTATTTTTTTTTTACGGACAGGCTGAGACGCCGCCTCGGCCAGTGGCCGAGGTACTGCGCCTCGGCCTGGCCGAGGCATGCGCCTCAGGCCCTAGGCCGAGACGCGTGCCTCGGCCCAGCCGAGGCGAGCGCCTCAGGCCCTAGGCCGAGGCGTGCGCCTCAGGCTCTAGGCCGAGGTGCTGCGCCTCGGCCAATGGCCGAGACGCGTGCCTCAGGCCCTAGGGCGAGGTGCTGCGCCCGAGACGGGCTGCGGCTTAGGCTGGCCGAGGTGCATGCCTTCGGCCGATCACGGCCGAGGCGTCGCCTCGACCGATCGTGGCCGAGGCGTGCACCCCGGCCAATCGTGGCCGAGGCGTGCACCCCGGCCGATCATTCGTGGTCGAGGCGTCGCCTCGACCGCTCGTGGTCGAGGCGTGCGCCTTGGTCGACCGTGGCCGAGGCGTCGCCTTGGCCGATCATGGTTGAGGCGTCGCCTCGACCAACCGTGGCCGAGGCGTGCGCCTTGGCCGATCGTGGTCGAGGCGTCGCCTCGACCGATCGTGGCCGAGGCGTGCGCCTCGGCCGATCGTCGCCGAGGCGAGCTCCGGCCCCTCTTTTTTTTTTCTTTCTTCTTTTTTTTCTTTTTTTTTTTACGGACAGGCTGAGACGCCGCCTCGGCCAGTAGCCGAGACGCGGGCCTCGGCCTGGCCGAGGCGTGCGCCTCAGGCCCTAGGCCAAGGTACTGCGCCTCGGCCTGGCCGAGGCGTGCAGGTCCTCGGCCGAGGCATGCGCCTCAGGCCCTAGGCCGAGGTGCTGCGCCTCGGCCCGTCCGAGGCGTGCGCCTTAGGCTCTAGGCCGAGGTACTGCGCCTCGGCCAATGGCCGAGACGCATGCCTCAGGCCCTAGGCCGAGGTGCTGCGCCTCGGCCAATGGCCGAGACGCGTGCCTCAGCCTGGCCGAGGCGTGCGCCTGGCGGTTTTTTTTTTTTTTTTTTTTTTTTTTTTTTTCCGGCTGAGTCGTCGCCTTAGCTGTGTTTGGCCGAGGCGTCGCCTCAGCCGTGGGCGCTGACCGAGGCGCGCGCCTCAGCCCTTTTTGCGGCTCGGCTTGAGGCGCCGCCTTAGTCGTGCCTTGGGCCGAGGCGTGCGCCTCGACCTTGGTTTTTTTTTTTTTTTTACAATGTGGCGTCGGCCAGCTTTTGGTTGATCGAAGGTGGTGCTGAGAACCTTTTATTTGAGCAAAGTAACCTGGGCAGACCATGATTACAAATTATTGTTTACAGAGGCGGACCACGACTACAAAATATTATTTATAATATCTAATTAAATGTTCTGAGTTCCATACCCGATCGATCATCCTTGCAGATGGTGTGGACTTGAAGGTCCTTTCCGCCAATCTTTTTGCATGCTTTTACGTAACAACTGCGTGCTGCTCGCTGGTCTCCTCTGACGACTCCTATCCCACTCGGAGTAGGGAACTTCATACACAAGTGTTCCACCGACACTATGGCCTTGAGGTCCTCCAGTGCCGGTCTCTCCAAAATGATGTTGTGCACACAAGTGAGTCTTACCACGATGAATTCCACGTCAAGTTTGCGAATGTTAGGGCTCGTGCCTATCTCCACTGGTAAGACCACTAACCCCTCTGTCTCCACTGAATCACCCGTAAATCTAGAGAGTGGGGTACGTACTTCTTTGAGCTGGTTCCTAGGTATCCCTAATTTGGTGAAGGCATCGTAATACATCACATTGACTGAGCTTCCCGTGTCGACTAAAATGCGGCGGACAATGACATTGTTGACGTCCATCTCAATCACCAGGGCGTCATGATGGGGTAACGGGCGCTCTGGGAGGTCATCATTAGAGAAGGTGATGGCCTCCTGTCTCTGTTTCTCTTCTCTAGGAAGACTCACAACTTCTCCCACGTATAGCTGTCGGCTCCACTTCTTTCTTTCCGCAGGCGTGTCACCCCCTGCGGGTCCACCATAGATAAAGTGTATGGTGTGCTTCTTTTGTCGTCTGGGCGCCACCTCGATTTCTTTCTCGCTATCATTCTGCTCAGATATTTGGTCGTGTTCTCTTTTTTTGGCGTTCGAGGTGGACGGCTCTGTGCCATCCTCATTCCTCCAGACATTTTTTGGTGGATTGTGTTGCGGCTGTTGCTGCTGCTTGGATCGCTTGACGAAATGTCGGAAGTAGCCCTGCTGGATGAGTTCTTCTATTTGTCTCTTCAAAACGTGACACTCATCCGTATCGTGGCCGGTTTGCCTATGAAACCTGCAGTACTTTGTTTGGTCCGCCTTCGGGGAGACCTTCATGCACTCCTCGGGGAATTCTACCATTCCCATCTCCTCAGCTTGCTTTAGAATGACACTGACGGAATGGGTAAGAGGAGTTAGATTACGCAAGGGGACCAGGCGAGGTCGTTCGTGGTCTCGGCCTTTCCCTGCGGTCGGGTGGTTCGAGAGTGGTGCCTAGTTGGGCGGATCCGCTTTCCCAAGCTTCCCACCTTTCCTACCATCCTCTTCGTCCTTCTTCTTCCTGTCGACGTCCTCTGCTTCGGCATAGCGGCTAGCCGTCCTTATCAGCTCTTCGTAAGAGCGGGGGTGGTGGGCGTTCAACTGCTTGTGGAAATACCCTGATCTTAAGGCATGGATAAATATCGGGATCGCCGCCTTGGAGTCGTAGTCGTAGACATTATTGACTTCCTTTTTCCATTTTATCAGGAAGTCTTTGAGGCTCTCGCCTCTATCTTGCTTCACTACACAGAGGTGAGAGAAGGGTTTCTTACGCTGTATGCTACCGGAGAAGTATGTCAGGAAGCTCTTGGACAACTCCCCAAAGTTTTGGATCGACCCATCAGGGATGGTGTTGAACCAGTCTTGGGCCGCTCCATCCAGGGTGGACAAGAACGCTCGGCACATGATGGCGTCCCCTGCCCCGATCATTACCATAGCAGCCTTGTACCTTGTCATGTGGACACGTGGGTCAGTGATCCCCGTGTACTCCTTGATGGCGGGCAACCTAAAGTCCCTCAGCAAAGGTACGTCCATGATGCTTGGGGAGAATGGTGCTGCCATCCGTACCTCGGGTTCCGGCGACTGCTCTCGTGCCTCCACCCTTCTTGCTAACTCCTCGATTCTTCTCTGCAGCCTCTCGACCAGGGCCGACTCATCAGGGTGCCGGCGCGGGGCCGGCTGCCGCTCCTCCAAG